AATAAAAAAAAAAAAAAATGGTAGGTGTGTAAGAGTCACGCTCGGTAAAGGAAAGCAACATGACCAGTTACCGAAAAGTCCCTGACTGTTTCCATTGTGAAATTGAAGGACGCGAAGGAGTAGAGACTGGTCGCAACTTTATGTTCTCTACCGTTTAACCATGAGTAATGCAGTAATGTATGGTCGTGTAATACTCTCTTTTCTTTCTTAGAGTTCATTCGACTCCTCCACCGTCAAATTTGAACGTTTCATTAAGAAATTTCAACTGGTAAGTGATGTTACCTTGGTATGTTATTCACAAGGTGAAGGGTTTGTTTACACGGCGTCATGCGCTAGTTGGTATTGATAGAATTTTAGCCCGTGTGACAGGCGCAGGATTAGGAGACATAAAGATAGGGGAAAACAAGGCGAAGTGCGAAAAGGGAGTGTTGCGTTTTTGATGTGAGGCGACTCATGTATCGCGCAATCAAAATGTTATTGGGTAAATGCTTTGTAGTTCAAGTACTCAGAGATTTCCAAGGAGTTTTTGTAAGGTCTCAGAAGACCAGTTGCCAGCTTATCACGTGATTAATATGTATTTACTTATATTATCTTGCTAGGTTTGCCGGCAAGAAGGACAGACCGTGGGCTGCACAAGAGTTAAATACCAAGAGCGACGGCACTTTCCTAATAAGGGAAAGTGTTAACAGATCTGGAGAATACGCTTTATCCGTCAAGTAAGAACTAATAACGTGTCAAGGGTTTGTAGCTTGAGCAGCGTAAACTCAGAGCCTTAGAATAAAGATTGAATGCTTGTTTGGGAGATCCAGGAGCCGGTGCTAAGTAACTGCGACCAGCTGGCGAAGTTCCCCTCGAAATGTTGTGCAATTTTCTCATTGGTTAATGGCAATTGGAAAATCTTCGGGACGTTCACGAGGAAGAAACGGCGATTTTTTTCTTGACCGAATCAGTGTTTTTATTATTTCGCACAAACCTTGGTCATCTAAGTTTTCTTCTGTTTTCGATTTTCTTGCCACTGTGGCCTGAATACTTGAAGACTGTGTTGTGTTGCAATAGTATGTCTTTCTATATAGAATAATGACGTTTAAGTAATTCAACAAATGGCGTTCGCATCTAATGTTTTCCTGAAATCGACAGAACAGTCATGTGGCGGCTCCAAAGGTGCTATCACGTGACGACATTTTCACTCAGTTGATAACGCCATTTGTTTTCTTCCGACTCGCAGATTTCGTAGTGAAGTAAAACACATTAAAATCCCATACGAAGAGGGAGCTTTCTACTTAACGAAAGCAATATCTTTTTCATCAGTTGAGGTAAGTGATATCTTCAAATTGTAACGTAGCTATTAAATATTAGAATGCACTTGAAGTTTCGTTGTGATACTGATTTGAGCGATATCAAGACTTTTTTTATCGTCGAATTTTTGATCTCTCCTCAGACGAGGTAGACCGCTTGAATGTTACTGTGTTGCGAACGGTTTCTTTTCCCCTAAAAATGATGAAGGGGGACTCAGAACTAAAGGTTTCCATGGCTAAGGGCTAACTTTCACAAGACTACCTATGAGCTAAATGTCTATAACCCTTGATGTCGAAACCCTCCCTCCCTCTCCCGGCTCCGGCTTACCTCCTTGCCTTTCCGGGCCCTTTTCCTTTTCCTTATCCCAGTTTCGACGGACAGCAGCAGAATTACCTGTAAAAAATTACTTTCTTAACTTTCTAATCTCAGGAACTAGTTGAGTACTACAAGGCCAACACTTTGGGCGTGAGTTTTCCAGGGCTAGACACGAAGCTACGGTACGGAGTTAATGAGGAACAAAAAGGCAAAGGTAACTTAGCACATTTACTTGGAAGTACAGTCGTGGACAAAAGTCCTTGGAACACGTACTTAATTAAACGAATTGTATGTGTTTTACTACTGAAGTTTGAAAAAACACGCTGCTTTCCTTTTAAAAACGCGTTGTTCCCACCCAATACAATGTTGAAAATCAGAAGAAATTGCAGGTAAAGTGGAACTGCGCCTTACGACCACCCCGTTAATACGACCACCTCGTTATTACGGCCACTTTATTCTAGGCCCCCCCAAAAAAGCTCAGTCAGTCATTTTCTTATTTAAAGAACCCCTCTAATACGACCACCCCGTTAATGCGACCAATTTTCCATGGCCCGAAGGTGGTCGTATTAACGGGGTTCCACTGTAGTAGTTTTCAACATTGTATGGGGGGTGGGGGGCGAGGTTAGGCAGGTGAAGATGTATTCGCGTCTGGCGTGTGCGCAAAGGCGCCAAAAGTGCAAATTTGTCCCAAGGCTTTTGTCCATGATTGTAGCTTCCTGTGGCCTTTTTTTGGCATATATACTGTTCATATAATACTGGTTACTGTGCGCAAATTTAGTTGTCATTTTGTTAAAGTGCGCCATTACTTGTAGGTGGAATTGGTTGGGCCAAAGCATTGTATTCTTATTCGGCGAGGAATCCAAAAGAAATTTCTATTCAGGTAAGTATAAGTTATACGCATTCCTACTCTTTTCCAGTAGTACTGGAAAGATTTTTAATATAGTTACTTTTTTAGTCATCACCACCCCTACCCCCTCCGGATATAGACCCATCTATATGAAAACAAATGTAAGACCTTTACTTTGTGTGCCTCACCGGCCAGTTTTTGCCATCATGATCTGCTTCGCGTACTTGTTTTCTTACGAACTTTCGATTTTCCTCAACAATATAGAACGTCTTTTTACACTGCCTGTTGTAGGTTTTATCGGGTTATTTTTTGATAGGTTTCTTATAATATATACTTATAAGCCCTTCGGATTTAAGGCCCCTCCCCCCGTTAATAGGTCCACCTAAAACCCTTTAAGAAGTTGTATAAGCCCAGGTCATGTAACCGGAATTTTACCGGGTATGCTGTAGTGGGATTCTCGCTTTAAAGTCTGCGAATTAAGCTTCTGAGCAGTGGTTGTTGTCCAAGTGACGACGAACCTTTCGTTCGTTCTTCGCAATCTGAGAGCCAGGAAGTGAGACAGACTTACAGTAACTGCATTTGATTGATTCATTCTGTTGTGTTGACTTGTGCAGAAACATTCCAAGATTCTGATACTCAACAAAGAAGGTGATTGGTGGAAAGGAGAATGCGATGGCCAGGTGTGTTTATGGGTAATTATAGGCGTGTCATTGCGACCTCGGTATAGGGTAACTTGTAGCTTAATGTGAACGTCATGTTTACAAACCTCTTTTTCCAGCCTTCTGAACAGCTGTCTTGGAAGTGAATAAAGTTTGGTGTGGAAAGAGGGCTCTCTCGGTGCTACCCTGTAGGAGTTAGAGATTGCAGTACCACTGAGTTCCAATGCTAATCCTTTTCTCCATTTCAGGTTGGTTACTTTCCGTCAAATTTCGTAGAGGTCCTCAAAGATACTATTGAGCCGCAAAACTAGAACATTCTCCATTGGAGCTTAATTGTGTTCAACACCTAGTAATGGACGCCACTTGCCCTGAGCGAAGGATCGGGGATGAAAGCCCTAGTCAATTTAACGGTTAAGTTGGCGAGGATCAAGGCTGTACGGGAAAAGGGATAGCAGTTGGATCGTCACAATGAATCAACGTATCGATGAAGTGAACATTGAGAAGAAATCAAAAAGTGAACCATATAGATAATATTGTCGTTTTGTGTTGGCTCGAGACGACAAAGACTTCTTGCAAACACAACATTACGACTAAACGTTTTTATTCGAAATTTCGCGGTTAATCGCGGACAACGTTTCTTACATTAGTCTAAGAGAAGTAGCTCTTCTTTGTCATGTATCATGAGGCATGAAGCGAAAAACGCACGCAGCAGGAAAAATGGCCTTTTTTGCTTCTGCTTCAGTTGATAATACACGAGTTTGAAGATGTAACTTATTCAGGGCCGGGAATCAACGGACGAAGTACGCTCACTACATACGAAAATTTGTAGTGAGGCGGTCTTCCTGGGTTGAACCTGGCCTCGATTTTACAGAAAGTGGACAATTCTTGTTTGAATCTTGTTTTATTTTAATATAATGACCAAAAGCCAATATACTTAGGTCACAGTTACGCTGGTCAGTTGACCGCAGAAAGTGATGTGTGAATTGTACTATTTATAATTTCTCATGAGAAATTTCTAGTTAGTCGAGACAGTCATTCATGTGAAGGCAAATAACCCAATTAGGTGAAATATCTCACAGGCCAAAAGGCACAGTCGGATATCTTAAAATTATACTTCATAGCAAGGGTTAGACTATTTTAACAAAGGAAATGAAAATAAGGAGGTGTATATACAATTTTCATTTCAGATATCCTCTAAGCCTCTGTTAAGTATGATATAGACATATCAAACTGTGCCTACTGTTAAAAGGTGTCGTGTTAAACAGCTGTTTGTTCCAAATACGGCAGGTTAGGTTACATGTCTACAGATGGATACAAGGAGTCTTTATTTTCCTTGAAGTCTGTAGAGATAGGAAAGGACAGGATTGGCCCGCGCCAATAGCCCTTTTCAGGGTTAACGTTTCTCCTTTTGAGTGAATGACATTCTATGGCTTCTGCTCGAACTTGCCTGGCACCCTACCCGGCGAGTAGCTAGTTTCTCTACCGCCACAGACGAGAGAGGATCTCGTTCGGGGTGTGAGGAGAAACCAACCTTTCGCAGGGTATTCTCACCCACGTTGAACTGTTCCGTCTCCAGAAGCTTTGCATTTCATTTGTGAAATGCGGGAGACAGAGCGCGGAGCTAGTTTTCCGAGTGCAACAGGCACAGAATAGGCTATTGTCGATATATTAAAATTCAGCTTGGCAGTGAGGCCTAGAGGACACAAACAAAGGAATAGCTGTTATTACAGTTGTCAGCGGTTTGACATACGAACGAGGCGAAATGGTCAATTTTGCTTTGTATTGACCCGTTCGCCTCGTTTGCATGCCCTTTTAAGCAAAGGAATATTAGACCGCAGGCTGAACTGTAATAACAGCTATTGAATGACAAGTTTATTCATTTCTTTTGCTTGTGTCCTCTAGGCCACACTATCAGGCTTAATTTTAACATATCAAAAATGGCCTATTCCACGCACACTGTGCTCCCAACAAGGAGGGGCACCTGGGGACCTTGTAACTGGTAATAAGGAGAAGTTAATCATGAAAAGGGTTTATTTGCGCATGAGAACAACTCTTCAATGAAATTAGCTTACCAAGAAACGACGTTTTTTTTCCCCTCGCATACGTTCATATTAGATAATTGGAATTCGTGGGGTTAGGCGATGTTCTTTGCGAATTTTAGGCAAATTATAAATATTGTACAGTGTTTTACGCTCGGCTTGAATGATGAACGCGTATAAATCTGTAACAGTCATATTCGTTTTAAACTCATTCATTAGTCCTCTACAACCAAAAGCTAGCTTATCCTCGTGAAACAACATTATACAGTACAATTTTACACTGTAAGGCCATTTATCTTAATAGAAGTTTTGGCACGGTTCGCACGAAATTGTTCGCGGAGTTTCTTTCTCTTCTTCCCTCTCAATTTTATCCGAACCGTGCCAAAAATGCCGTGTGGTGTAAAATGAGCCTTGAGTGTCTGTTTATATACCTTGGTCCAAGAGGTTTTCCTTTTTCTCTAGCTCATTTAATTTTGCATTGAAAGAAGAAAGAAAACCTCTCGGTCCACTAGTCAAGAGTTTATTTGACCGCACGAAAAATTAAAGATGACATTCGTAACCAATTAGATCAGTTGATGTGTACATCCATACTTCAGATCCAAGGCAAACCTTTCTGGCAATTCTCAGCTCACTCCAACAGTAGGCCATTTCCGAGTTGCCTTTTGCCTGTGTCAAAACGCGAAACCATTAAGAAAATGAGTTCCGCCTTCAGTTCGCTTTCATTTTCATGCGAATCAAACTTATTTACCTAAGAAAGGTTTTGCACGAAGACTCGTTTTGAAACAGAGGCACAAGGTAACTCGGAAATGGCCTGTTGTGTGCTCAGTTACCTGGCCTATAAATGTAAGCGAGGCTGGTGACAGACCATTGGAGTGCAAACTAGTTAGCGGTAGAACAACTTGAATTACACACAAAAGCTGTGAGGTCTGCATCAAAACAAGATCACCTCTAGCCAAAGGTCAGGTCACCGAGCAGACAACTGTAAAATGGTCTATTGAAGAAACCACTGTTGGGGAAACCACTTACGAACGAAAAGGAAACCTTTTTTGTGTTCATTCAGTATTTTAGCCGCGGACCATCGTAATACGAGAACAGAAGCGTTTATAAGTTTTGGCGCCGGGTCTGCAAACTCGCTTGGGTGAACAGAATCATCAGCATTTCGACAATGAATTGTGATTTGAAAGTCGGCTTTTCTTAAAGTATTTTTTCGAAGTCATACCTACACAATTAAATTGCTGTGCACAGGATTGCCGTTTACCCATAATTTAAGACGCGAGAATGTAAGAAGAGGCAACTGAAGACGCAAGAATCTAAGCGGAAAAGGAACGAAAACGCATGGTCACAAACCCTATAACCTCAGGAAACGCGGCTTCTTTATAGATGTACATGTATTTTTGTCACGTGCGGACCGTTACCCCATGCAGACGATAACAAATCGAACGCTTTCTTACCGACAGAACTCTCTACCGTTACTTAGATAAAAAAAGAGAGAAGTATAGACAAAGAAAGTTATACTTCAAAACAATCGGAGTTTATATTTACTCTTTCTACATAAAAATAACAGTTAATACAAAAATATATCATGTCCTTACTATAGTGCAAGCAACTGGATGCGCTATTCAAAACTTCCTCTCTCTTTCATTGTTACTTTGGAGGAGTTTCCGTTCGCAGTTCGACGATCTCTTTCCTTCAAACGTATGATAGAAAAATAATCCTTTTAAAAAAACCCGAGCGACACAAGGCAGACGGTTCTTTTCACGCGTCAAAAGATCATGAATCTTCAAAGGAAAAAAAAAAAAAGAAAAAAAAAAAAACAAAGAAACAGGCTGAAAAGAATCTATTTGCTGTAGAGTGGATATCGGTGACTCCTGAAAATGTTTCCAAATAATTACCAGGTTGTAGCAGTTGCTTTAAACGTTCATGTCCCATAGTCGATATTAACATTTACATTATCTAAAACTCTTGATAATACCATATGATTACTTCTTTAAAAAGTCTTTTCGGGAGAAATTGAGCCTAAGTCAACACATTTCTCATACAATCAAGTCCTTGGTTTTTCATAACCTGCATGTTTCAAGATAATGAGGGAAAATTTAGGAAATAATCACTGGACTGCTGGGTGTTGATCACATTACTCATTCAGAAATTTAATGTCAGTCTTCCTAAAGTTCAGTTGTTTCTTCGCATGTTTTCTCTTCCGCTTCAGCTTCGGGTTCATTCGCTTTTTCTCCAACTTCACTCGGTTTCTCCTCGGCCGTCTGTTCGTCGGCTTTCGGTTCTTCAGCTTTCGGTTCGTCGGCTTTCGGTTCATCAGCTTTCGGTTCTTCAGCTTTCGGTTCATCAGCTTTCGGTTCTTCAGCTTTCGGTTCATCAGCTTTCGGTTCATCAGCTTTCGGTTCGTCGGCTTTTGGTTCATCGGCTTTCGGTTCGTCGGCTTTTGGTTCATCGGCTTTCGGTTCTTCAACTTTCGGTTCTTCAGCTTTCGGTTCATCAGCTTTCGGTTCTTCAGCTTTCGGTTCATCAGCTTTCGGTTCTTCAGCTTTCGGTTCTTCAGCTTTCGGTTCATCAGCTTTCGGTTCTTCAGCTTTCGGTTCATCAGTTTTCGGTTCATCCGCTTTCGGTTCGTCAGCTTTCGGTTCGTCAGCTTTCGGTTGCTCTGTTTTTCCCACCGCGGCTCCCCCTATTCCACAAACTAAACGACATAACAATAGTCAATAGGTGTGACCTCAACTTGAAGGGACCCAGAAAAAAACATAGCCAAATCAAACGCGGACCACGAAATTGTTAGTCGTCCGTTTTTGGATCTTCGAAACTCCATGCTTAACTCGACACGATTCTCACAAACCTTCACAAAGACCGTTTTGAAAACGTGGAGCTGACATTCTGTGACAGCCATGCTCTTCTTTCGCCTCCTATCCATGTTTTCTTAATTTTGTTTTGTAACTCACCTTTCTTGATCGTGTCCCGTATGCTAGTCTCCACATAAGTGTCATACTTGTCGCTGAGTGAAATAGCCTGTCGGAGGGGGTCTGGGATACTGCTCTCTACTGGTTTAATCATCTACACAAAAAAGGAGGACGGTAGATGGTGTTAGTGATGAAAACAGGACAGTCAAATCAGCCGTGAAATATACATGGGGATCACGCAACATAATAACTCCGACCAATAACTTTATTACAATTTATTTCGACGTAGCACCAAACCCAGTTGCAAAGGGCTCGAAGATCACACGGCGAGAGGCTTGACAATACAAAATATACGTTGTGTATTTCAAGTACATGTACCTTTAAGACATGTAAGGCCAAGGGTTCAGCTTAGGCTACAGTACTCATTTTTAGACCCTTAGGACATAGAACACGAGAAGGATTCAACTATACTCATTTCCACTAGCATTACTTACTGGTTTACAGACTTGATCAGTCAAGCTGTGGGTGTGTGGTACCAGCATGCACAGCATTGATTCCATCAGGTACTGGTCCAGGACAATTTTCTGGTCCTCGTCATATTTCTGTTGGTTACGAAAGAAGTCAAATCACACGAGTAACTGTTTTACGGCGCATGCACAGAGAATGTGATGGCCAAAAGAAAACAAGGCCGATCAAAGAATAGACCATTTTACAGTTCAGTGACCTGGCCTTTGAATGGCAGCGAGGATCCAGCTGCCCTACTTTTGATGAAGACCTCATTGCTTTTGTTGTGTAAATCAAGTTGGTCTTATGCTAGACGTAGCTGGCATTTAAATGAAAAAGGCAGAGAGGTTTGTATCAAAGCGAGGCCACTTCTAGCCTCGCTTGCATTCATAGGCCAGGTAACTCAGCATACAACTATAAAATGACCTATTTTCCTTCGGGGTAATAGTAACACGAAAAACGAGCAAGGTCCTGGTGACGAAAGCGCAGTAGACAAAGAAGAGCGCTTGAGTGGGATTTTTGAGGAGGACAACTTACCAACAACACTTCCTCTTTGACAACTTTCATAACGTCTGCGGCAGTTTCACCGTTTGCTTTGGCATCAGTACCAGAGATTCCTTCATTGAAACGCTCCTCAAAGGTAAACACGGCTGAATCCAGAAACTGAAACAAGGTTTCTAAAGTTGGTGTTAGAAATTCAAGATCTGTTTACTGGCCTTGCGCGTCGAACGACGCGAAGTGAACGAGTAACGATGATTACATAAATGGGATAATGTGTGAAAGAAAGGGAGAAGGACGAGCGCTTAATACATAAGCTTTTTGATGTGTTCATTACTACAAAAATCACCGAATCGTGGAATGGGCTGGAATTTTTGTACAGCGACCACTCCCACCTTCTTTGACTCTTCTTTTGCTGACAAGCCCACATTCTTTCGTGTTGTTGTGAGTTGACTGTAAGCGAAGTTCAAACTAAAGATGGGGAAAAGGAAAGAAGCGGATAAATTTTTAACACATTTATCCACTTCTCTCCCTTTCCTCACCTTTACTTTGACCTTCGCTTTCTGTCAACTCACAACAACACAAAGGAATGTGGGCTTGTCAGCAAAAGAAAGTGAGAGTGGTCGCCGTACAATAATTCGAGCCCAGTCCACAGTTCGGTGATTGTCGTAGTAATTTCTTATGCCATCCTCACGTAAACGTCTATAGATTCGTTATTATTAAAAACTGGATCATTGTATAATGCAATTCGAGAGTTTTCATTGACTTAACCCTAATGGGTTATGGGCCATTATACCATGCTCTACGAATATGGTAAGAGTACGCGTGATTCTTTTGGGGCGTTTTTTATTTTTTATTTAGTTCTGTTTGCTATATTTTGGGTGGCGTTTTTAATAGAACAATTATTCCACTCGCGCTTGTTGGATATGAGACGGTTATAGCCTCTAGCATCTCATGTCCAATGCGCGCTCGTGGAACAATTGTAAATTTTTTGTTTCCATAACAAATGACCTATTATGCCTCCTAACCTGAGCCAGTTTATCAGTTCCTATGTCTGTCACCAGATGACCATTCAAATTATTGATGCGCTCTCTAAACTTTTCATGCAACGTGCTTACAAAACGAATATGAACTAAAGCATCATAGAGCACAGACCACGAGCGTGGAGCTTTGTCCAACGTCAGGAAAAACTGAGAAGAACAAAAAAAAAAAAAAAAAAAAAATACAAAAATGAGTTAATGGTGGGATATACATCACTACCTTTGAGCCTAAAGCTTCCCACGGTAGGATTGACGGAGTAGTGAGTGGTGCAGTGGCCTGTAAGCTACATAGTTCATCAGACACCAGATCGATTGAGTAATTCATCAAAGGCAGCCGCAATCACAGACCAACACGTAAATGTATGTCTTTACTCACACTTAAATAAAACAGGCATTTTAGAAGCTAGCTTAAAAAATTCTGTACTGATGTTGCGTTGTTATGGAGATCTGGGTATGTTCACTAAATATACATGTAAACATTGTGTAGTAGTTTGTCTGAATGGCTGTTACTTGCATTCAAATTTAACACTGAACAACTTGTAACCGATCAGACACACCACTACATGAATTTCTGTAGAGTTGTACAATTATTACAGATTTTTTTATGTGTGAATCTACAATAGATCTCCCATAATGAGCACCCAATGCTGTTTACTCCGCACACTCATTAGAGTCCACCTTTGGTTGCTTTCTAAACTTTCAAAATAATGCAATTTAACGTGGCTAAAAACAGTTTCCAGTACTTTCAAAGACTTTTTTGATGGGCCATTATAACCACTCTTTATCAGTTGATGGTGGTAACTGTTTTGAGCCACCTTAAGACATCTACACGTAACTTCATATAAAATTTACAATCTTAGAAATAATACACGTATACATGTACAGTAATGCAAGCACTTACTGAGGGCAAAGATGCTTCAATTTCATTAGTGCTCTTGGCTTTCTCAATCACTTCATCCACTTTCTTGATGAAGATTTTCCTCAACTCTGCCAAACCTTGTTCCATCTGACAAACAAAGATATTTTCAAAAGAAGAAAATTCAGCTGAAAAACTGAAAATCAAAGCTTACATGTGAATCAATATTGACATTTTAATGTAGTTAAATGCAATTTAATGGAGTCAACAACAAAGAGCGATAGGATTTACAGTGAGTGTTGTTTTGCATGGGAGCAAGTCTTCAAGCATTCCCCCTCCCTTCCTACCCTCTCTCCACAGTTAATTCAGTAAGAAAGGTGCCTGTCTCCCCTTCCACGTGGGGGCTCATGGCTCGGTTTCCAGGATTGCCAGCCATGGGAGCGGTATCTATCTAGGAGCTGGATGCCAATAGTGAAAGCTCCTGGATGTCTCGGGCACCCAACCTCTGTTTAGGTACTGCATACAGTTAACACAACATCATCAACGCTGCCTTGTTAGTTGTATATGTAAGACCAAATGAAAACCTGGATGCAGTTCACAAGACATTTTCTCTTGATTCACCAGAATGTGGTGAAATATAAATACATGTATACTGTAATCTTTCCTGCAACAACCTCTTCCAGCTACATGAAGCAAACACTTACCACATGTGGTGTTACAGACATACTATTCAAATTTTGATGACAGTACAGATAATTATTGCAGTCAATACCTTGGGTTTTAACAGATCAACTATCTCTTTCAACATCTCTTCCATGTCTTTCAGAACTTTTTCCATTGAGCTTTTTAAAAGTTCTATAGAGAAATAAATCTTGTAATTAGTCATTGTTGTTATTAATAATAAATTCTACACAGCTATACATGAATATCAACCAAATGTAGACTACGTGCAGATGTCTCCCGTTTCCTGAATTATACTTTCCTTTTCCCACGAGAAACAAAGGAATATCTACATGCAGACTTAAGCCCAAATGACCTTTAATTTACATGTATGTGGCAATTTAATTAATTATAAATTAATAATATACAGTCATATGTTAATGCTACTGTATGAATGTGTAACTTTTGTCACAATTGTCATACAGAAGTCCACATATGAATTGATTCTTCCTTAAGTACTGATTGCAGCATGGAAATCTCTTTCTTCAAATACAAGAAATGTCAAGTCTTTGAAAGCCACTGATAATACTGGCACATAAATGAGGAAATTACTGAACAGTTGTAACATTTTAGCCTCAAGCTGTCATGGCTTCCTCCTTGGCTGGTACATTTTTGTTGCTTGTCATTGATCCACTGCACACAACCAGTATAGTGCATATTATGTCATAACACAATCAGAGACAGATTCCACTAAAGTGAAAGTACATGTACTTTAGGAGATCTTTGCTGATGCCTCCTTACCTCCTTACCAATGATATGGCTAAATGTCTACACAGTATAATTATACAAAAGACATCATACTTTGCACAAACAGACTCTAAATGTTTAGAAAGCGCTTGCTTAATCTCCAAAATGTTTACTTCTCTGTGTACAATATTAAAGGAAATATTGGCTTTCTAAATCAGGAAAATGTCTGGGTGGAAGTGTGCAAATTAATGTGCTCATAAATTCTTTGAAATTTTTTGATTTTTTCCACCTGCAGCACACAAGAATGATAAACTACAATTGGGCTCAAATTTCTAAGGACAGTTAAATGTGTTATAAATGACCCCTCGATATCAGGAGGTGATATTCTGGTAGCTTAATAGGAGACTGAAACACTTGTTATGCTAATTGGACAATTTTTGTTGATAACACTTGTCTAGTAAACAAAGATGAATGCCTACATGTAGAGTGTATAGAGACAATGCCCAGACCAGATCGTGGTTTAAGAACTGAAAGAAGGAGCAGATCTAGCAGTGTTCCAGGTATAAGAGGGGGAGTCTCAGGTTGAAAACCAAACAAGTTCAACTGCCTTATCCAAGGAACTGATAGTAAGAAAACTTCTGACAGATGATTTGGAGAAGTCCATACCTACTTGTACTGACCCATTAGAATTCCTTATGGACACTGCTACCTTACCTTAAGAATTTTTATTATCTGGAACCCTGGTCTACACTGTCATCAACATCCAAATGCATTTATATGTACCACAACTTAACTGCAAATCACATGCCTGATAAGTCCCACATGACTTTGCGTTGCACTGCAGCCAGTTCGTCCTTCTTACTTTTGATGGTTGGCTCGAGGACCGTTTTCATTTGTTGAGAAGATTCCTGCATTCCTTTCCATGATGGAATCACCATGGCCATTACAAGAGAATCAAGTGTCTTCACAACCTATCAAAACAGTACATGTACAATTCAAATTCAGTCATTAAATAGGTCATTTATGGTCCTAGCAGTATGCAGGATGCCTGTCACATATGAACTCGGTTAAATGACCTTGCTCTCCATGAGTTCTCGTAGCTCAGTGGATAGAGTGCTCATCTGGTGTTCGGGACATCATAAGTTCGATTCCTGTCAGGGACTCAGATTTTTCTTTGTCTCACGCTTGTGTCATGTTGATCAATTTACCTTTCATATACATAACTTTCTATAAATGTGCACACTTGGCATGTGATATTCTACATTACTTTTAACATTACATGTACATGACGTGGCTGTACATTTAGTAACAGTACTAATTATATAAAATCAATACATACATGTAATTCAATATCCCTTAACCAAAAAAATTACATCAAATTCTTGGTTGCTTGTGGTTTAAAAATAAATTACATATTAAAAAGACATAATTATACACATGTACGAACCTGTTCTCTGATCTTTTGCTTTATTGTCCAGCCTCCTGGAATGTCAGCATAAACATCAGACATCACTCGATAATTGATCCTGTCCACGAGGATATCACTGAGAATCTGTTGAAAGAAATGCGAAGTTCTCTCAAATCAAGTATTTGATATTTTGAATATTGAATATTATTTTGAGGAGTGTGAAAGCACACTTGGAGGAAAAGGAGTCATGCGAATGAACATAGCTAATAACATGTTTTAAGTGCTCAAATAGAGCTGCTGCCAGTAGATAACCACTTGAAAATTGACCTCTAACACACATGTGATGCACATATACAACACGTACATGGACACTGTAAGAAGATGTCATCTGCTAGTGATTTGTGTCCAAGACAAAACAAATTCTTGGTCTGTACAGTCATGTATTAGGGATTTCAGCACGTTCTACTGGCTATAGACATGACAGACTTGAAGTGCCCCAAACCACACATAGATACAGACAACAGTGCAGGAAGATGTTTTCACACACCTGCTCCTCAGTGCCTGTAACTCTGTACCTCCAGTACGTCTTCCAGATAGCGACCTTGAAAGCTTCACGGCCCACTGGATCCTCACTCCTCAATCCTGGAGTGAATGAAAAAGGAGGAGAAAACAGCTTACACAAGCCCTGGGTACAGTGAAAATTCATATTCATCCAACAGTTTACATGTAGCAAAGTTACAAAATGTTCATCTACATGCAATTTACTAAATCATACCATGTGGGTACATTTATCATTGCCCTACTGCTGAAAACCGTTTCCCCTCTGTTTAGGTACCCTCAGCTCTAACAAGCCTCCTTAAGAACTTAAACTTTTCAATTAAGAACCCCACTCTCTTTTTAAGATGACAGATATGTGCGTCCAGACAATTTGCCAGGCTGAACAGAAAATCAAACATTTCACGAAGAAATAATAAAATTAGGTTGTCCACAAAGGAAGTTCACTGAAGCACAGTGTACATGTATACACTCTATACACTGTAGTTTGGAATAAAGAGACAGAAAGTTCAAGGCTGACTTACCCGAAGCTTTTCTGCAGCAAACTTTAAATGTTTCAACCCAGGCTTTTTTGTCTTCCTCATTCTCAGCTGTGATTAGATATGCTCTTCTTCTTGAGTGACCCACCTCAAATGTATGCTCAGGATACTTCTCCGGAGTGGGTAACTCCTTCTCATCCACCTCTGCAACAAAATTAGCAGAATACACAGTTGTAACAGTCAAACTCTTAATAAATAGTCATCTGTTTTATAAGAAGCCACACCCAGGTAACAGCCAGTCATTAAAGTCACAAACAGACTACTTTAAGGTTGCTTTCTGCTGTGACTTTTAAGTGGCTAATTTCAAGGCACCAAGGACGAGAGGGCATGGATCGAGAAATTTATGGAACCGTGTACATGTGCAAGGGTTAAGACAGGGTAAGTTAGGAAGTGAAATAGCATCTACTGTACACTGAAGACCATGTAGATTGAAGAAACACATAATTCACTGTTTCATCTTGTCAGCTTTTTCTCGTGGCATCATCAAGCTCAAATGTTGTGAAAAAAGCCCCTTTTCAAAAACCACCTCTATCACAAATGTAAGCATCTGTGGTCACCCTTTAATTGAGCCAATAAGGGTTTCCCTTTGTCTTTACCCCTATTACTTGGTAATTTCCCTGAAATAAAACTGCGCATAGATTTTTGTTCAAACTTTGTCCAATGAATAATTTATTTATCATAAGAGAACTTTAATTATGAAATAAAAAAGGGGGTGCCCATGCTTGTTAAGGAACAGTGAGGCATTGAAAATGGCCCATTTTAGTGTTATTTAATGCTTATTACAAGAACGCATTCCAAGTTATTGTAACTCTTTTTGAGCCCAGACTCATGAAAACACGCCTCAAACTACAGT